CCGAAGGGTACCTCCCTTAGGCTTTTCACGAAGATAAGACATTTTCCAGAAAGCGTTTATAAAGTCCATATGTCTAATTGTTAAACTTTGTTGTCTCATTGATTTGACGGTTAAAGACATACATGAATAATACTCTCTTCAGGTAACAGGTTGCAAAATTGAATATTGATATATTTTATAGATAAAAACAATAAAGCAATATTTCTTATACATATCATGAAAGTATGAATTCATTCAAACTACATTTAAAGGTATCAAGTTATAGCTGTTTGTAATTTATTTTGGCAAAGTCCCATATTATTGGGCCCACGGATAGCTTAATAATAGTAATAATAATAATACATAAATAAATTAATAAGTAAAAATAAATAAACAGATAAATAAATAAATGAATCAATAAAAAAAACATTGCTTGATTTTGAATGTTTTCAAATTATTTTATCATTGAAAATGTCAATTAATGTTCTTCTTTTCAATTATATTTTGTAAACATTCCTTGGAAGTATTTAAAAAATAATATCAAATCATCACAGTTTAAGGTAGTATGGGATACCTCTACGTTATGACGTATTTCCGTTTGAAGTATTGTTTTGATTTGCATGAGTGCTTATTATCGGGTCAAAATTTGTAGATACACCGTTGAAAAGAACACTCAGAAGCCTATTTCAATGCAAGTTCTCACAAGTCGGCATTTTAAGTAAAAACAGACAAAAAAATCGCAAGTATATAAATTTACTTATAATTGTACAACGGACATTTAAAAAAGCAAACCCCTGTAAAAGGTAGTTTCAACATTGCTGCTTTTGAACACTTTTAAGCAAAAGCTGTATTTCAATTGTTTGAGTAACTGTACAGCACCTTGTGTGCGGTGAGGCATGGATAAGTGCGATTAATTCACATTGTGCTGAATTATCACCAATCAATTATCACGTTAACCAGAGCTGGACTTTTTTGTTATTTAATTCAAGAAGTAACTGTTTGGTCACAAATCAGCTAGCTGTTGTATATAGTCCCAAAACGTTCAGATGAATGCAATTGCTCTGAACAAGACACGTCCTGGAAAGCGATTGTCCATGCATTGTTTTCAAAACCGCTCAAAGTTGAAAACTACAAAGTGCGATTTTTTTAATGGTTTCTTAAATAGCACCCAAGTTTTTTCAACCCTTGGAAAATAAAGAAGGATAACTCTTCCGCTCGGATCTTTTAATTCAAAAAATTTTAAATGCATTTTATATTTTCCATTTATATATATATTTTCAATTTGTTTATTTCACTTTGCTAACATATTAAGATACATTCTTATTGTAGACTTTCATGAAATGTTATCCGTCTGTTTTCAAGAAATAAAGTTTTCCCAGTTTTTTACGCTTATTTTTTGTTGAAAATTAAAAAAATACTAAGACATATTTCTTGTCATTTTTGTTTTTACAAACACTTTATATTAGCAAACGCCTGCCTATAATATTAAGCTTATGAAAAAAGAATTATGCAAGAAAAAAAATCGTTTTTGTATTTCTCATTAAAATAATAAAAAAAATTATTAAAATTACACTTTAATATACTGAAAGGTGGGGGTATTTCAAATCCTTCTAATTTGGGTACATAATTATGTAGGAGAAGTTTCGTTTGGTATCCCATACCACCTTAAGTACATCATCCGAAACGCTTCAAAAGATTTAGGCACGTGAATGATGAAATATATCAAGTTTTCAGCTGTCTTTAACTAGTGATAAATTAAATTGAGTACATACTGCTTTGACGGGTTTAATTATTTGTCTTTGAACGTGGCAAGCAGCAGATAGAATTTCCAGATATTTTCTTTTTTACCAGTGTAGATAAGACAAGAACTTTATGATTTCCTGATTTAAATTTATATTGCCTCACATTTTGCAGATTTTTTGACATACGTCAGAGAAGAACCATTTCATGAAAAGTTGTATGCTACAGAGTAAAATACATATATATAGTAAGAAAGGCCTTCTGAATTATTTTCTTCTTCTTAAAAACAAATTACACGTTTACTCAAGCTATATTAATGAAATATCCCTTACTTTATATATATATATATATATATATATATATATATATATATATATATATATATATATATATATATATATATATATATATATATATATATATATATATATATATAATATTTTTAAAATCTTCCCAAGAACACCAAGCCCTTGATAAGTCATGTTTATATGGAAGCATCCTCAGGTAGTGTAGATTAAAGTTTCTTTAAGTCATACTCCGGGGCCAGGGTGGGGAATCAAATTTTAACATAATACTGTAAACCAACTTTTATTCGCGTGCGAGAAATATCTGCGAGTTTCGCGACCTACTTTAACTCGGTAAAATTTAATCGCCGCGAACAATTTAATTCTGCTGTATTCATAAAGAATGTTTCCTCAGTCGCGAAAATTAACCGTCGCAGATTGATTTCAAACTGACGAATCTCGAATGAAATATGACGCGAATAATAGTTGGTTTACAGTAATAGATAACAGTCTTTAAAAATATTCTTCTCAAGAACAGCAAAGCAATGATTACTTTTCATATTTATATGGAAGCATTTTCACGTATTATCATACGACATGTACCCACGGAAGACAATATGTGCATAGAGGGTAGATACACATTGTCACTGGCGACAATAAGAACAGGACGACAATATGCATCGTCACCGTCGCGCAGCATGAAATAGCAGACGAGACACGACAGTGTCATAAGAATATAAAAATTACAAAAAACTACATAAACATCTTTATATAAGCACCAATATCTGTAGGGCGACAATATATATACAGTGAGGTTAGGCACATTATGTCACCAGCAACAATATGTACATTTGTAGCTTTTCAGCCGGCGACAATATATACTGATGAACGACTGTGTGTGCAATAAGTGAGTGAGTGAGTGAATGAGTGTAGGTACATATCGTCGCCGAAGACAATATGTACAGAACGACAATACGTACCGTCACAAACGACATTCGAATAAATAAATACAATAGAAGAGTGAAAACGAAATGAAATTCTCGACTCAAAATTTAGAAACGGTCTTTCCTCAGACAAAGGCGATAAGATAAATAATTTTCTTCAACAAACACTTGACTTTCATGTTCATGTAGAAAGTGCAGTAATTATAATTACTTTACTACCACGTGTGCCGCGAGAATTATTTGTCAATAACCATCTACGTAAATAAATATGTATCACTTTCCTGGACTTTGTTTGTAAATTTATAAATTGGACTTGCTCTCATACCAGGTACCAATTATATTTTGTTTAAATAATAAAATGCTTTCTTTGTTTGTTAGTATAAGAATTTACGTTGCAGCTGTTGCAGAAAAAATACATAACCCGCGGGTTATGTACATTTTTTTGCAATACCTGCAACGTTAATTCCCATACTAACAAACCAGAAAGACATCTTATTGTGTATATTTGTATCTATTTTATAAGCATCTAAAGTAGGATTAAGTAGGTTAAATACTGTGTTAATGAAATGTACATTATTGTAAGTTTCATTGATGGAAGAGTCCTGTGCCTGTGAACATCTGTGTGCAACACAGGCATTTGATTTTACTTTTTGTATAAATATAGGTCTGTTTGTTTGTTTGTTTGTTTGTTGTTTAACGTCCCTCTCGAAAATTTTTCACTCATATGGAGACGCCACCACTTGCAGGTGGAGGGCTGCAAATTTAAACTTATACTCGGCACTCAGGGCCATTGAGCAGTGAGGGATCTTTTTCGTGCCAAAACCTACTGCAACACGGGACCTCTGTTGATACGGTCTCGTCCCGCAGTGGATTCGAACCTGCGACGTAAGGATGAGCTCCTTACTCCGCGACTCTGGAGCAGAAGCGCTAACCACTGCGCCAAGCAGGCGACTATAAATATGGGGGAAAAGGTTTCTGAGTTATAAATACTTCATTTATCCGTGAAGTTTTCAGAAAGTGTTCCGAATATTCGACTATCGTTCGAAAAATGCTATCGAATAATCGACTAAGGAAAATAAATATTCTGACTTCCCTAGTAGATTCAATTTTTTTTAAAAGCATGAACCCCCTGGGTAGGATGTGGCCACATTTGGGGATCAAAGTTTAACTTAGGAATAGAAAAATCTCTGAAAATTTTCTTCTCCAGAACAGCAAAATTATAATTTGTCATATTTATTTGGCAGCATCCACAGGTACTGTAGATTCAAATTTGTTCAAATCATGACCCTGGGGGTAGGGCTAGAATGGGCGATCAATGTTAAATGAGGGAATGCACGCGAAAAATCTTTTAAGATCTCCTCAGTACAGCAAAGCCATTATTGGTTATATTAAATATAGAAGAATCCTAAGGAAGTGTACATTCAAGTTTGTTCAAATATGACCCTCCGGGGGTTTTGCTAGGCCACAATATAAAATTAAATCTATTAAAAAAAATTAAAGCCATTATAAGTCAATTAAATGTAGAAGCATCTTTAGGTTTTGTAGATCTAAATTTCTTCAGATCATCACCCGCTTCACTGCCTCTAAGCACCAAAGTGCTCAGGTAAGCGATGTTACCCATGGCCTTTTGTTTATAACCTTATGTTTCTTGTACATTTCAATTTCATGTATTTTGGGAAGTAAGCAGGATGGCAACAGAACGAAAGTTTGTATTTTGGACTTTTTTATTTGCAATCCACTGCATAAATACCTGCACAAGCCAACGGCTTGGTTACGTCTCGGCCACATGTTCTGGACCAGATGAAATAAATACTTTAAAAGCAAAAACAACTGTTCAGCAGCAGCTTGTCAGTGATCATGCTATTAAATGGGAAATCCTGAAGGAAGAATTAAATTCAGTCAAGGAAACACTGTCCAAACTAGATCAAGCTAATAAAACGGAAATGCTTGAGAAAGAATTTAACTCAGTCAAGGAAACACTGTCAAAACTCGATCAAGCTAATAAAACGGAAATGCTTGAAAAAGAATTAAACTCATTCAAGGAATCACTGTCCGAACTCGATCAAGCTAATAAAATGGAAATGCTTGAGAAAGAATTAAACTCATTCAAAGAAACACTGTCCAAACTCGATCAAGCTAATAAAACAGAAATGCTTGAGAAAGAACTAAACTCAGTCAAGGAAACACTGTCCAAATTCGACCAAGCTAATGAAACGGAAATGCTTGAGAAAGAATTAAACTCAGTCAAGGAAACACTTACCAAACTCGATCAAGCTAATAAAACAGAAATGCTTGAGAAAGAACTAAACTCAGTCAAGGAAACACTGTCCAAATTCGATCAAGCTAATGAAACGGAAATGCTTGAGAAAGAACTAAACTCAGTCAAGGAAACACTGTCCAAATTCGTCCAAGCTAATAAAACGGAAATGCTTGAGAAAGAATTAAACTCAGTCGAGGAAGCACTGTCCAAACTCAATCAATCTAAACTCGATCAAGCTATTAAAACGGAAATGCTTGAGAAAGAATTAAACTCATTCAAGGAAACACTTTCCAAACTCGATCAAGCTAATGAAACGGAAATGCTTGAGAAAGAACTAAACTCAGTCAAGGAAACACTTTCCAAACTCTATCAATCTAAACTCGATCAAGCCATTAAAACGGAAATGCTTGAGAGAGAAGTAAACTCAGTCAAGGAAGCACTGTCTATATGTAAGAACCTTTTAACAGATTTTTTCAATCAACGTTTTGCATTTTTTATTGAATTAAATATATAATAATATCAAATTTTCCTATCACGTTCTGGAGTAATAATTATTGTGTTTATTTTCTGATTGAATAATTCTTAGATCTCTAATTGATTGAGATCCAACATTATACAAAAATGTGTTGTTGTGTTCACCTGTGCCTGACTTCCACGTGAATATAAGGATTTTTTTCAAAGTTAAATTTGAAATAGATAAGGAAATTCCAAAATTATAAAATGGTTCTAGAAAGTAATTTTCCTTACACCCGACTTCTTCTCCGGTGAAAAAATAATGTTCAGGGACATAGAATATGTGTTGGGTTTTGAAGGGGAGGGAAAACTGCCCCCTCCCCGCAATTTTAAATTTTATCTGCATGAACGTAAAATTTTCGTTTTAATTTAGTATGAAAATGTTCATTAAAAGGCTGGTCCCCCACCCCTGAGATTGGACTCCACACATACAAAATTTGAGGTTTGGAGAATTTTTCTCGTTTTTGGGGGCTAGTCAATTTTTTAGGCACACTGTAGGTTGTCTTTTTTTTTTATTTATACCCCCCCCCCCCCTCCTTCAAAATCGATCCAACGATTCAGACAATTAATTATTTTTTCTACATCGCAAGTAAAAGAAATTTTAAAAATTTATTCCAAATTTATACAAATGGAAATGTTTATTTGAATTCAACTACGTTTCTCTCATTGTGTTTGGCGAGGACTTCAACAAATGTAAAAAAGTAAGATGGCATGGAATGTTTAACGATTATCATTTATTCATAGAATCATATAATAAATCGATTATTGCTGTTTTTGGTCAATACAATGATTTAGCCACCTTTGAAGTTTAATGTTCACCTCGCCCTTTGTGTTCGTTGAATTTTGCACTCCTCAGGTGGCTATATCAATGTATTGACGTATAAAAGAGCAATGATGACACATATTGAATGCCGCACTCAATGTATATTTCATTCTTATATCTGAAATGCTTTGAACTTGACTAGCTGCATACAAAGCTTTTTTAATTTAATTTTGTATATGATTAAGGAATGATTTCATCTTTTTTCTTCAGTTTCTTTTCTTAATCTATATTTTTATCAACATATATTTGAAAACATATAGTGAGGCCTGACCACGTTGCCTTCCATGTGGTAGCTTACAGAAATTCCAGGCCCGGAGTGATCATTTTTGATCATGTGATCACAAATAATAAATTTGGATACGACAGACGCTCTGGAATATTTACTGTACCAATCACAGGTCTATATGTGTTTTCTTGGAGCATAGAGACTTATGGACAGTTGACTGTGGGTGCTCTCTTTGTGAACGGATTAGAAATTGGAATGTCAATGTCCGACCAAGCCCCAACTTACTACGATACAACTACCTCTTTTGCCGTCCTTAACCTTACAAGAAAGGACAATGTCTGGATCAGAATAAAAAGCGGGCGTGCAGAAGCGATGCATACGATGTTTTCTGGCTGGATGATCAATAAAAATGGTATGATATTCTAACCTTTTTGAAAAATAATGTTTGAGGAGAAATAACTCTTTCAACTTTATCATTTCAAATGCAATCTTGAGAAGTTCTCTTTCTTTAATATAAAATACGCGAAATAAAATGCAATATTAAGACCGGATTATGGAACTTACAACAGTTATTGTAGATCTTCAATATAATGGTAAAGATACGTTTGTCTTTGTCAAGGAAGTTAAAATTCTTTGACAAACATGTTAACAGAAATAAAAATATAGAAAATCATTGGTACTACTTGTCTTTAACCATCAAATTCAAGCTGCACAATGTTCACCAAAACTCTAAACATTTTAAAACCTCTTGACTAATACTTGATTATAACTATATACCTTTTAGTATTAGACTTTTTTTATCTATTCAACGACATTAAAATATTTTACTTATTATTTATTTAAATATATATATATATATATATATATATATATATATATATATATATATATATATATATATATATATATATATATATATATATATATATATTACATATAATTTTAGTTCATGTTAATTGTTTATCATTAGTACTTAGAGCCTAAAAGCATATAATAAACTCTATAATCTATTTAATAGTTCTAGTATGTATACCATAACAAAAATAAAATGATAACGATAAATGGATATGCATATGCATTTGATTATTGTTTTGAATTCATCACTTAACATGATTGAAACATCGTTTTGGAAACATCAACTTTATTATACAACACAATGCTACGTGTGCTTTTATATTCAGTTAATGACTTTTTTTTCATTGTCAGGACACTAAAAAATAGTATTGAAATCTTAGAAATTGAAACAACAACTGTCTAAGAATTTCTTAGGAAAAGTTTTTTTTTTAATTTTTTTTTTTTTTAAATCTCATCGAGGCCTCATTTTAATCTTTGAAAAAAATCTTATGTTTACTGTTTAAATGCAATAGCAACATCAAAAAAATCGTGAATATTTGTGTTTGAACTTTTCTGGACCTATACAATTATAGTCAAGACGTAATTTCTATAAATATGTTCATTTGAATGCAAGGTCATTTTCACCCCGTGAAATTTATGTACTATCAAACTTGTAAACAAATTAACCCCGTTTTAATTTAGCACAGATACCCCTGCGGTGAACGAAAGGCAATCTGATCAAAACTATACTAGGTGCAAAATTTACTGTAAAATGTATACAGCATTATAAAATCCCTACTGCCCTCTTTAGTTTCCGTCCTATATTGATTATTTCTTTCATATTAAAAATAAACTATCATGGTTTTTATCAATCTGTTTACTGTCACTTTCAGATAACACAGCATTTTATGCTTCTCTTTCGCGTGACGTGACCGGGTCTCCTATTATCTTTAACAACGAAATCCTTGACACGGATGATGCTTACTCCACTTCTACAGGGAAGTTTGTGGCGCCTCATACTGGTCTTTACGTTTTAATAATGTCAGGACTTATCTATGAAAGGTACGCGTTCAACTACACGTTTTCATTTGGGAACGGAATTTCTCAGCCAAAAGTAGGGGTACATTCGACCAGTGGGTACAATGACAGCAGCAGTTATATGACATTTGCCTGGATGAACACTGGCGAATCTGTGTATATCGACGCCAAGAGAATGGGGGCCACATCAATGTTTGCAGGATGGCTGCTGATCGATGACAGAAACGGTAAATTTGAAAAACATTTTGTATAAATTTGTTAAATATGAAACTTTCACAGGTATTTAAAATAAATAAATCTAAAGTAGGTTACAGGGGAATATCTGACACTGGAAGATTTATTCAAAAACAAAATTATACGGTCCGTAATTTAGCCTTTTTGACGTGAAAAATTAGAAAAATTATTCAGGTAACTTTAAAAGAAGATGGGTAACAAGGTGTGCAGAATGCGTATAGCTTTAGATATAAAAAAGAAATAATATTCAATTTGTGAATTTATATTCAGAGTGAAGTTCTCATTATTGAAATTCATAAAATATTGATAAACAAAACTTTTCTGAGGAAAATTTTCTCGGCAAAAATTTTCCTGCTATTAAAAAAATAATGTGGTACTTGCGGGGTTCGAACCCTAGAAATAAAAATCCTGAGTATAATTTTCCTTTAAGACCAACACGCTAACCAATACGCTTGACAACTCTTGATGATCAGCGGCTCTTTGCTCCATTTTTTTTGAAAGTTTATCCTTAAAGTTTGCGTAAAAATGTACATTTTTTGGTTAACAAATATATTGAGCAAAGACCCACTATACCTTAAAAATGTTCTGTCATGACACAACATTCGTATCTTTCCAAGAAATACTTGAAGTCCATTTAATCAAGGGTCATATCACATAAAAAATGGAGCAAAGAGCCACTTATGTCGAAAAATTGTGTTATAGTATGAGACAATGATCCTTTTTGCCCTCTTTAGTGCGTGCATCCTATTTCATAGGAAAATAATTTCAATCTTTTTGAGATTTTTGCAAATTGTGGAGATTTTACATTAAGTATACTTTAATGTTAGATGAAATATCAAAGAAAATGTTGTTGTAATTGAGATTTAATTTTTCACCTTCATGTTTGTCTCACTATAAGCATTTCGCTTGCCTTGTTCGCCAATCTTCTCTCTTAAACTTTTATATAGTTTGAACGCGATTTCAAATTTATTTAAAATTAAGAAATTATTTCTGTTACTGCCTTCTCCTTTCGATTAACTAGTATACTTTCAAATACGGCAAACCTTTTGTTATCACCGAGTATTTTAATTAATTTCCCTTCTTCCCCTGAGGAAGATTTAAAATTTCGTTGTATTTGACATAACTAGGTTATAGGGAAACAACATTTGTTGTATTTTATTCCATCAAATTTTAGCAAAACTTCATCTCTAACTTCTTTGTAAATTAGCGTGGTCTAGAACTAACTCATGTAATTAAGAAATAAATTCTTTCAACTGTATCCCCAGATAACGGAATAAGCTGTCACTATTATACCCAGGTGTCAAAGATTTTGCCTGACTTTGTGGAAAGAAGAGAAATATAAATTCCAGAATTCTTGCCAGTTAGTTACCGATTTTGATCCACGTTGGGTATCTTAATTTTTTTTTTTTTTTTTTTTTTTTTTTTTTTTTTTTTTTTTTTTTGTCAAAAAAACAAGCGGATCGAAAGTTGGAGAAAGCATGTAACTAAAGGCACATTTTAAAAAAAAATCTGTTTTTTTTTTTTTTTTTTTTTACATAGAGTAAACTAACTTTCCCTATTATTTCTTTGCAGATCACAGCAATAGTTAATTTCAATCAAGGTCATAGAAACCAATTAAATCATCGAAGAGGTTCTATATATATAAAGCTGCGATGGGATAAATAACATATTTTCTATAAATTACAATGTGGAGTTCAATCATACTAACAAGAACAATTAGAATATGGATTTTATGCACAGAAAATATAAATTTTGCGCAATTCATGATTTTCATTTGCAATTTATTTTTCCATTGAAAAAATGGAACTCTTGGCTAAAATCCTTAAAATTTTCATATTTATCTTTTTTTTTGAGATAGAGAGAGAGAAAGAGAGAGAGTGACTAGTATGTTTCTTTTACGGCAACCGTAAACAATCAATGAAACATAGAGGGAAAATGGGCTCTTGTTTTAGATGAAATTCTTAATTATTAACTCGGTGATTGAATTCTATGAAAATGAAGACAGAACAATAAATACTGTAATTTTAGACGATGATGACTATTACCATCATCATCATCATCATCATCATCATCATCTTTACAGTTGTTGCTGACATTTTGAAGTAACATTTTCTAAGAACTGTAGTGGAAAATGTTGTATTCCAACAACGAATATTCTATACTCTTCAAATATGTTAGCTTGGAAGCTAAACCCTTAGTAATGTTTTGCTCCTAAACACTATATTTTTTTCATTTTTTTTTTCTTTTTCTTTACAGTGTCAAAAACTTTCCCAGCTTTTCTCGCTCATCTAAGCAATGACTCTACCAGAACCCCATTTCATTATGAGTTACCTCACGGTAGCTATCACCATGATTACACAACAAGAACGGGTGTATTCATTGCCAATCGTGATGGACTGTATTTGTTTTTGTTTAAAACAGAAGGTCAAAACGAAGTTGTACTTACTACACTAAGAGTAAACGGAGTTGAAATATTTGAAACGAGGTCGGACGGACGTCGTTCTGGTTATGACGACACTTCCGCTGTCACTGTCCTTCAGTTATATCCACATGATCGTGTCTCTATAGGAGTTAATTCTGGGACAGTCGATGGTTATCAGTCTCTGTTTATTAGCATACTTCTATATGAAATGTAACTGAAAATTGTTTTCATTCAGAATAACTTTTTTTATTTCAATTTAAGATGGAATTGTACATTCATTTAAGCTTTGGTCTTTGTTCATTTGTAGTTATATATAACTTCATGAACTAATCTGAGTCAAGATTGAAATAGTGAGAAATCCCGTCCGGTCTAGCTTTTGGATGACCTAAAAAAACAAAACAAAAAAACAAAACAAAACAAAACAAAAAAGAAAAAAAAGCAAAAAACAAAAAAACAAAAAAAAAAAACAACAACAACAACAAAACAAAAAACAACTATCAATATTGTAAAAAGTAATGTAAAACAATTAATAGCAGCAGATTTGATGTGTTGATCTTAAATTCTCAGCTTTCTTCATTCAAGTCTAAAACTTCATAAGCAAGAGTCTTAAAAGCATGAAAGTTCCTGTTATGGAACTCTGTATTTTTTTCCATGTAAGCTGACCAACCTCAAAGGACAAAGGGGCACAGGCACAGTTAACCTGGATAAGCAATTTCTGATAAAGATAAAGGCATACAATTTCATTTTTATATTGACTTTTTTTTTAATTCTCATTAGATTGTTATTTTTTTTCAAGCTGTTAAACACTACTGATAAGAACTATATAACATTTTTTCTCATTACACTGTATTTTCAAGTACTTTTCAAAAAATAAATAAATAAAATACATTCTTTTTTCATGAAAATTAAAAATAATAATAGTAATAATAATAATAATAATTTATCTTTGAATTTCTTATTGAATTAACTCATTTATAGAAATATTGAATTATTTATACCTTAGACATTTCATCGTAAAATGCTTAACTTAATGATAAACTTTTTTACATGTAATAGATTAAATGTGATAAAAACGAGTCACTTTGAATTTTAATAAAAATTCAAGGTATTATCCTAATTATTGAAGCAAAAAATGATGGAGATACGTTCACTGTGAAATTTAAAAATCATATTTGAAAAACTATCCGTTTCTAAGAAAATGATGGGCTGAACTTGCTCCACTTTGGCATAGGTGGATTACGGACCAACAACAACCTAGAAGGATGGCATGGAAAACTCAAAGAATCTCAAAAAAATCCTGATTTTTCTCGACAAGTAATACTGCTTTTTGGTGATTTTTTTTAATCAACTTATTTTAACATGTACCTCTTCCGTTGGCCAGATAAAACCTATTGCCCACTGCTAACCTAACCACTGGGAGGTGAAACTATGATTTTAAGCAAGATACGTCTTGTAAAACACTGGATAAGAACATTGAATCAAAATTGAATCCATAATCACTGGATAAAAAAAAACAAAGATGAAAACAAACACTATAAAATATAGATATAAAAAGATCCTCAGAACAAAAATGTATGCTTTCACATTTTGGTGCAAGCTATATATATAATGCATGTACATTTGTTACCACGATTTGTTTCTATGTGAAAACTTTCTATAACGTCTAAAACTCCATTAAATTTTTAGCACACTGTGAGTAACTACTCATTACCGAGCAGAACAATCGGGGAAATACAGTTGAATATCGACAACCGTTTGTTGCTAAGGGCTAATCCTGACTATTCAAAAATCGGAAAGGAAATATAAAAAAAGAGGATAACATATAGTAAAAACAAATCGCGGAAAAGCAATGTGAAGTTGTCGCGGAAAAGAAGACGGGTTGCAAAAAATAAAATCGTGGAAAAGCAGGATGGCCTACTGAAAGAAAGGTACCAGAATGACATCATCGACCTCATGACATACGAAGACTCTGCATCAAAACTACTTCTACTAGGATAGTGATCCCATATTCACGGCTTTGTGACTAAATAAATAAATTAGTGTTGTAAATATTGCGTCATGCAAAAGTGAAACTGTGCTATCAGTGTAATTAGAGAAAATTGTATAATGAAATGTACATGCCTTTAAGCTTTTTAATCTATACTTAAATAAATAAATTGAAATTAATTAGATTAAGTACACAGTGCTTTCTACGTTGCGTGTTTGTGAGGTTCATGTTGCATTTATTAATAATTATTTGAAAAGATACATGCATTCCATTTTTTCAAGGAACTGCTTAAAAAAATAAATTGATGCTGATTTCATTGCTTTATTTAATACGGGTAAACTTTACCTGTACTCATTAAAAAGAAATAGAAATTAATTAAAAGTATAAAAATTATATTTCACTAACAAAACCACTTAGTATTTAAGAAAATTCTCTGTAATGACATGAACTTTTATATAGAAGCTGCGGCACGCATAGTCTCAGAATTTCTCCAAACTCTCTATGACGAAAGTCTTTGATACTGTTTACGCAAATCAGGCAAAAATTGGCTGCTATGAGTCATGGTAACCATGACAACATGCCCT